ACACTCTGGAACTCCTTCGTACTGACACCACAACACTGCAGCACTCTCAGTACTGCATTAGAGCATCAGCCTTGAATTTTGTGCTCAATCTCTGAGGTGACACTTGAACCCTGGAACTTGTATTTCAAAGGCAAATGCACTATGAAGTGAACCATGGTTGAAAGGCAATGCATGCCCTACTCTTAGGTGGTGCTTAAATATTGCATTATAATATGTCAATTATTTACTCTATTTTCCTTGCTAATGTTATCTATGTTAGGCGTGACTCAGTGGGCAGCACTGTCATTTCTGAATTAAACAGCTATGAGTTTATATTTGATTTGGCACAGATAAATGATTCAGAATATTTTACATGAGCCAAACTATATGTGTTGGTGAATTGTTCAGGAGGACATTACCCTATCCAGTTTCCTACCTAATTAAATTATGGGATGTAATTAGCAAGGATACAGTGCGGAAACCAAATCAGGGTGTTTTGAAAGGATCTATGCCAAGGGAATAGATTGGCATTTATTGACTTGGTCCAACTTTGCCCTGTTCAACAGGATGGACTTCCTGTTACAATCTGAGCCTTGGGAGTACTCCTTAGTTCATTTAATTAGTATTCTAAAATTTGGTCCCCTACTTTGGTTTGATGGTTCAATCCTGATTGTATGTTTTATCTCCTTTGTGCTTGATATTGAATCCAAGTGGCCTCATTCCCCCTTCCCCCCACCACTGCCAACTATAGCATAAATGCTGCCCCCTCCACACTTCATATCAGCTCTGATGAAGAGTCATCTAGACTCAAAGCGTTAGCTTGCTGTCTCTCCGTGGATACTGCCTGACCCACTGTGATTTCCAGCATTTTTTGTTTTCAATACAGGCCTTATGATGAGATGTGAAAAAGGAAGTATTGATCACTTTCTACGTAATATCAACCTTAGCTCTCCCATGTGGTCACTTTATTTTCTCTTTGGTGTATGTTCATTACCGGTTGGAAAGAGAAGATTGACAGTGACCGAATGTAGATCTTTAATTTCTTAAAAAGATTTCTTAAAAATGGAAAGCCTATTTCCACTTAGAGAGAAGTAGAATTAGAGACCATCAATATAAAACAGTCAACAGGGAATCAATGAAAGCAAAATAGTGCAGGTGCTGAAATAAAAAGAGAAAGTGTTGGAAATATACAGCAGAGAGAGAATCGGAACATTGCAGTTCTTCAGATTTGAAGGACAGCAGAAAGATGATGGGTTTTATTCTGTTGAAAGTGATGGATGTAAAGCACAAAGGGGAAGAAATGCAATAGAGAAGAAGGTGGGAAAGATTGAATGGCAAAGGCATCATGAAACAAAGGGCAAAGATAGTGGTATGAGTTGTAGCAAAATGACAAAACATAGGCCCAGAGTGAGTGTATGACAGATGCAAAAAGGATGTTTCCCCTGGCTGGTGGGAGAATGAGGGGTGTCCATAACCAATGGTCACAATCTTGGAAGTAGGGACAGACCATTTTGCGGTGAGAGGGGGCGTAATTTCTGCATTCAGGGTCTGGTGAAACTTTGGAATTCTCTGCTCCAGAGTGCAGTGGAGGTTCAGATAGTGAGTATATATGAGAAATCATCAAATGGATACTGAGCATATATATTCACAGATTGAGTGCAGGAACATGGCAGTGAGGTAGAAGGTTCACCAATGGTCTAAGTGGAATGATGGAGCAGGTTCAGGACCAAATGGCTAACATTGCTCATTTTTCCTGTTTCCTGCAAAGCAGGAAAAACAAGAAATCAGAGGTGGCACAGTAGCTCAGTGGTTAGCCATCCTGCCTCACAGCACCAGGCAGCTGGGTTTGATTTCAATCTCAGGCAACTGTCTGTGTGGATTTTGCACATTCTCTCTGTGTCTGTGTGGGTTTTCTCCCACAGTCCAAAAATGTGCAGGTTAGGGTGGATTGGCCATGCTAAATTTCCCAAAGTGCCTGGGAATGTTCAGGCTAGGTAGATTAGCCATGGGAAATACAGGGATGGGGTAGGTCTAGGTAGGATGCTCTTCAGAGAGTCAGTGTGGACTCACTGGGCTGAATGGCCTGCTTCCACACTTCAGGGATCCTTTGAATAAAAATGAACCTCATTCACCCAGAGATTTTGGTGAGCCAGCTACCAAAGGCCAATTGAAGATGTAGGAGAAGGGTGTACCTGGTTATACTGACAGTTAGGATGGGGAGGATAGGGGAGGCCAAAGGCAGCAGCAAGTGGATAGGCTGAATGGCCTGCTCCCATGCTGTACATTCCATGTGGGACGAGGGAAGTTTCCTGTTCCACCTCGATCCGACCCTGTGTTCAAAGGGCAGTTGAATCATCAGTGAGACTTGGCCCACACCCTGGGCGAAGGTGGAAGGGCAGGAGGGAGCCAATAATTCCACGCGGTGGCTAGAAGGGAAAAGAAGAAAGACGCCGATGGGCTGAGATTATCTGCAGTCTGATGTTTCTGTTTGAACTCGTGGGCGGGGGCGGGGTCCCTCCCATTCACTGAATCCTTCCACACACACACACACTCTCTGTCTCTCTCTCTCTTTCTGCAGGTCTGTCTGGGCAAAGCCACCTTCTGCAGGTTTTCACTCTGGAACCCTCACTCGCCTTGTTATCTCCAGGATCTCCTGCAGCAATCCCTCCGGGAATCTGTTCTGGCAATCCTGCTTTCTTCTACTCTGGACACATTTTGGAACCCCATGACTAGGATGTAATTTCAGAATGTTCTTTGCTTCGATCCTCTCCACAATCCTGCATTACTGTTCCGCGGCAGCCGAGGTAAGATCACCGCTGAGTGGATCACTTTAGAAATTAGATCACCAATTAGACCACAGCTGCAGACCTTCCTCACAAACATAAAGTGAAGGAAACACAAGGACAAACTGCATTGTGTGACAGATGCCGTTTTTTTGCTCACTCTTCAAAGCCCCCAGTTTATTTAAGCTGGTTTGAAACTTTGGAGCCATACACCGTGGAGTCTGAAGCAGAGATGCTAGTGTGTTTTACCCGCTGTGGAACTGGATGGGTCAGTGCACCAGACTCCAGGCAGATGTAGCCGACACCTACTTGTATTTGGGTTAATTCAGAGTTTTGCTAATGTTTGTTTTTTATTTCCAGATTGCACAGACCCATCCAGCAAAAGACAACCATCTGGCAGGTAACATGTCTGATGTATAATCTTTTATTGCTTAGACAAATTTTATACATTTGTTTATGTATTTTTATGCAACTTTATATATATGTATAAAACAAGATCTGTTTTAAAACAAGATCGATATAGCTCCTTTCATAACCTCAGGCAGTTCCAACATACTTCACTGTCAGTTAACAAAAACAAGTTGCTGGAAAAGATCAGCAGGTCTAGCAGCATCTGTGAAGGAAAAAAAATTAGAGTTAACGTTTCGGGTCTGGTGACCCTTCCTCAGTTCCATAATTTCCTCAGTTCTTGAGGAAGGGTCACCGGACCTGAAGCGTTAATTCTGATTTTTTCCTTCACAGATGCTGCCAGACCTGCTGAGTTTTTCCAGCAACTTCTGTTTTTGTTCCTGATTTACATCATCCGCAGTTCTTTCGGTTTTTACTGGCAGTTAAAGTTCGTTGTAGTCACTACTGTCTTGCAGAAATAACATACATTATAATAGAAAATATTACATAATAGTCCTGCAGTGTGAAAGCAGGCCACTCAGCCCATTGATTCCACACCGACCCTCCAAACAGTGACCCATCCCATCTCTACAACCCTGCATTTCCCCATGGCAAATCCACATAACCTGTGCATCTTTGGAGTGGAATCCCACACAGACGCTGGGAGAATGTATAAACTCCACCACGGGCAGTCACCCAAGGGTGGAATCGAACCTCTGTCCCCGGTGCTGTGAGGCAGCAATGCGAGGCCCTGGGCCGCCCCAGCAAATCAAGTCTCCAAATAGTATGAAATGGATAAAGCTCACATTGCAAAATTCACTTAGTTTTACTAATTTGTTGTAATTTTTTAAAAAAATCACCATAGTCTCAGAGGACCATAGAGCTGCTCTCTCATTAGAGAGATGACAGGTGGTGGTTTAAGCTGAGGGTCACCGTGCCTCAGGTGAGGGGAGAGGTTGAGAAGGAGGGTCCTTCAAGGTAACCTCCTATAACGTATTATTGAAAATAATTACATGAAGAGCAAAGGAGGATACAGACTTGTTAGGTGTTTAGTTTGGAAATGTACGTCGGCTGCCTCACTACACTTTCCTGTCATCATGGTAAGACTGGTTGGAATGACAAATCGTTTTTTTTGTGAAATCCAACATGTTCCTACATTGCTCGGAACTTCCCTCAGCATGGAGTGAAGCTGGGATAGTGCACGAGCGGTTTCTTGCTGGGAGCAATATTTCTCATTTCTCTCCAAGTAGAATATCAAGCAAGCTCAATGACAAAAATGGTTCCAATAGGTTTAAGCGATGTGTTTTGAGGTGAGATTTCACAGACAGCCATAACAAGTTTAAAGGGTTGAGTGGTCCATTTGTGTTTCTGTGTGCCACAGATAGCCCCTTATACTCACAAACACACACACACACAAACACATAAGCACAGAAACATACACACATACATGTGCACAAAGACACATACGAGTTCACAGACCTAAATACATACACATATACACACATGAAAACAAACACACAAGCATACAAACACAAAAACACACAAGCAAACATGCACACATGTGTGTGTGTGTGTGTGTATGTATATATATATATATATATATATACACACATACACACACACACCATTGCATTCCCAACAGCTATTGTAGCTGCAGTGGAACACATGCTGTAAATTTTGAGTCAGTCAGAGGCTTTAAAAAGGAAACAAAGACTTGCATTGATATATTTCCTAAACCAGGACACATTTAATATTGTAATGTAGAGCAGCAAGACCTCCAACAATGTTGCCCTCCCTCAGTGCAGCCCCTCCTCAATGCAGGCCTCCCCCAGTACAGCCCTCACACAGTAAAGACCCCCCTTGGTACAGCCCCTCACTTCAGTACAGCCCCTCCCTCAGTACAGCTCTCGTACCACATTGCAGTATTAGCCTTGATTCTTGCAATTAACCCTTTGGAGTGAAGTTGAACCAACACTGACCTGATATTGAACTGGTGATGCTGAATGAACGACGGTGTTGTATGTTGTGAAAGAAACAATCCCAAAAAGCCCTATCTATATGGGAAAGGAGTTTAACAACTAGAGCACGAAGCCCGGTTCTTGGCCTTGTGCTTCTCATTGGTGAAGTTCACAGTACCTTCCATTCAATATGGATTCAGTTTGGGAACATTGGGACAGGAGTAAGCCATTCAGCCCATTGAACCTGATATTCAATATAATCATGGCTGATTGAACACTTCAATGCCTTCTACTGATCCCACCCCTTAACCCTGTACTCCACTCAGAATTCTTGTCAACTCTACTGAGCTTGCAGTGCTCTCTGTGGTAGAGAATTTTAATGGTTCGCAACCCTCTGAGTTTAAAATAAAGTCTCCCCATCTCAGACCGAGCTACCATCCCCTTTATTTTTCAACTGTGCCTCCGATTCCAAACGCCGCACCCAGGGAAAACAGCTTGCATGTATCAGCCTCGTCTATCTCTAAAGGTATCAATGAGATCATCTCTCATTCTTCAAAACTGTAGAGAATACGGGCCCAGTTTGCTCAATCTCTCTTCATGGGACAGTCCTGCTATGTCAGGAACAAGTCTAGTGACCTTCATTGCACACTCTCTGTGGCAATAATATCTTCCCTGAGATTTCACATGTACCGTCTAACCAAGCTCCTATACAACTGAGTCTAAGTACAGTCTAACCAAGCTCCTATACAACTGAAGTAAGACACCACTGCTGCCGTACACCTGAGAGAAACCACCAAGGGAAGGTGTTTTCCCACACTCAAACGCACGTTAATATCAAAGTAGACAACCTTTGAACTGTACTGTTGTGAAATAAGGTGTGGCGACTGTATGCTGTCTCTGATGTTCAGCTTTGTAAGTCGGTGTCATGTGAGAATGCAGTGCCAACCACTGCCAACATGTAGTCAGGTGCATAGATGCCACCAGCCTCCTTTTATCATGGTGCCTACAGAACCAATTGGTTTAAAATGGTCGTGCAAATCCATTAGGTATTATAAAGAGAGAAGCTCTTGTCTTCGTTATATATCCAAAAGTGCTCTCAGAGTCTTAGATTCATACAGCTGTACAGAACAGAAACAACACTACAGTCCAACTCATCCATGCCAATCAGATATCCTAAATTAATCTAGTCCCATTTGCCTGCATTTGGCCCATTTCCTTTCAACCCTTCCTGTTCATATACCCATCCAGATGCCTTTTAAATGTTGCAATTGTACCAGCCTCCACCATTTCCTCTGGCAGCTCATTCCATGCATGCACCACCCTCTGTGTGAAAAGTTGCCCCTTAGGTCCCTTTTAAATCTTTCCCCTCTCACCTTAAACCTACACCCTCTAGTTTTGCCCTCCCTGCCTGGGGTAAAGATCTCGACTAGTCACCCTATCCATGGCCCTCATGATTTTATAAACCTCTCTAAGGCCATCCCTCAGCCTCCGATGCTCCAGGGAAAATAGCTCTAGCCTATTTAGCCTCTCCCTGTCTGACTCACAACCCATTTTCTCCTCATCACCAAATCACCGGTGGTATATTTTTTCATCAATTGTTCACCACCATGTTTTCCTTTTGATTAATTTACATGCAAAGCTCGTTGAGGGCAATGTAGACCTTCGAAGGTGAGAGTGAAGTTGGAGGGGCAGGTGGTGGGGTAAATCAGAATGGAGTTGGAAAGGGAAGACACGTGTTTTTTTTCTACATCTGGAAGCGCTGTAGTGCCTGGAGGACATTTATCAGGTTGCTCCTGAGAGAGCATTGCTCCTATGCCTGTAGCTGATACATCTGCAGTGATAATATTTGGTGAGAATGGATTGTAGTGGGACAGGAGACATTAGCTTGGTTGTCATTGAAAAAAAAATGAAATTGCTGGAGAACTCAGCAGGTCTAGCAGCATCAGTGGAAAGAGAAAGCAGAGTTAACATTTGAATCCAGTGACCCTTCTTCAGAATGGATGTCTGTCAGTTTTTATTTTAAAAGCATTTTCCTCGTGCGGGTTCCTCTACCCTTGTGTCTTTTTGTGGAAATGTCTCAAGGCTTTACCTGTAGTTGCCAAGTGAGGCAAAATTTCAACAACTCTGTCACCATGCCTAAAAATCTTTGCAGACCATGAGCCAATTTCAGAGTGGGAAACTCCTCGTCAGCTTTTGTTTTCTGTGGATCTCCCATTTTTCCATCACTGTTAGCAGTGCGCCTCCAAAACAGAAACAAATAGATTCCCCGGAAAATTCACACTCGTCATTAAGAAACAACATTCAGCCTGTAGGTATTTTTAAAACTGTGTGGACCCTCTGCTGGTGCTCCTCAACTATCCTGCTGTGTATCAATGTGGCAGTCTGAACCTTGAAATATATTAGACATGGTCCATTGTAAAACCTGTGGAGCCAAGATGATCCCCAATAGCAGTCTGTTCAAACCAAATCCCCAAAATGGTAAGCAGTTCACTTAATGGCACCTTCCAGGTCCCACTATTGGCTTCAAGTTTAATGAAATCTCCACTTTTAGACAATTTGCTGAACTCTCTTCTACTGTAGGCATTGGGTAGATTTCTCTCTGTCATGCCTTGTTGACCTACATAGGTCAACACAAATTCTGATGGGTCCATTGGGTTTGGCTACAGTGGCAAAAACGGAACACTATCCAGTTGGTTTCATCATCAGGGAAGTGATATCCATTCAGGTCATTACTTGAAATTGCTTTTGAACTTGTTTAATTAAAGGATATGGAATCATCCTGGCTATGTAGAGATATAATGGCAGAGCATCCTTTTTGATTATGATGCTATATTTATTATTGAGTTTGTCTAATCCTGTAAACAGTTTTGTGTGGTCCTTGTCAAAGGAGCTTTTACTCCTGTGCTATCCGATTGCTTTATCCCTATGAAGAAGATTGAGGGTAAAACGTGTAGTCTTGCTCAAGCATGAATGTTCTTGGTTCTGAAACATTCTGTACTATATTACTCCCCTTTTGTTTCAGAGTTTCTTAAAGCATACCTTTTAACGATGAAGT